TGATGTGGACCACATGTATTGTTTGTTAATCTAATCCAGTTTACAGGAAAAAAATGACTATTTATATAAAGCCCTGTGTGTAGAGAGAGGAGTGTGTGGCCTTCTTGGTATGTCCTGTAGGGGGTGTGATGGACAGCTATGAATAGTTTGTGCCAGTGTACTGGTATAATGGTAATATTTATATTTGTACTTATTCATTTTTTCTGAACAAGTAGTGTTACTGTTTCATTTTAATATTTTAAATACAAAACTGTATAATTATCTTCAATAATCAACCACTATACTTCTAAGTTTATTTGGAGTTCACTTTCATTGCATTGTGTTAGTTAGTGTCCTCTACATAGCTTTTCTACAAGTAAATATTTGATGTCCAGGTTTATGTAAAAAAAAGAAAAGAGAAAATGAAGACACAGGGTAGTGTCACTGCAGATGAACGCAGCACCAGTGACATATCCTGGCTTTGGACCAACTGAAGTTTTTCTTTCATTACTAATTTTAAATTACAATTCTTTAATGCAATGTTTAAATTCCGTTCTCAAAATGAACATTTTACTGATTTGTATCTGAAGTATTCAGATATACATATACCTACATTATATATAATTGAATATATTTAATCATTTATATAACTTGAATATACAGTATATTTACTCATATAAACCTAATATACCTTTTATATGCACTATATGTTGGAGTACTTTTATTAAATGGCTGCTGTTGTATGATATAATATGACACAATGCACATATGGTCCCTAGTTTAGCCTTAATGATTAGCATCTAAAAATAGAATATTTATTTACTTTTTATCTACTGGCAGCAGCAGATCTACAGGTAGATCATGATCCACCTGGTGGTCACATCAGGCTTTGGTCGACACTCTCTCTGAAATACTGGAAACAGAACGGTTTAAACACATGCAAACATGCAGTCCTGCTAACAAGCCCTCATACGTTCAGTGTAAGGAGAGTCATTGTCATGTTTGATGCTAAAGCACGTGGCGGCTGCAGCGTGCCCATCTGCTCCTGACACACGCCCCATTTCTACCATGTGCTGGTGTAACAGGCAGCCATTGTAGCAACAAGTGTCTCCACATTACCACGCTTGCCAGCTCCCCTCACTTGGCAGCGGGCCCACTCAGCTGTCCCCCCCACCCCCCCACCCCCCCCCATGAGGAAACGACTTGCT